TTGCCCGAGAAGGCACCACCACCATGGGCTCCCCAGCCTCCATACGTGTCAATGATGATCTTCCGACCAGTCAAGGCTGCATCGCCCTGGGGCCCGCCGATGATGAACTTGCCGGAAGGGTTGATGTGCAGGTGCGTGTGGCTGCCGTACAAGCTGATGGCCGGCTGGCCGCTCTTCAGCTTGATCGACTGAAGCGTCCGCTTGATCACCTTCTCCTCAATCTCTTTGTTCATCTGCTCCATGCTGGGGGCCACCATCTCCGCACCAGTGTAGCCAGCACATTCCTGGGTGCGCTTGGCCTTGGAGGGCTCCGCGTGCTGGGTGGAGATCACCACAGTGTGGATCTTCTTGGGCTCCACACTGCCGTCCGGATGCTGCATATACTCGATCGTCACCTGCGTCTTGCCATCCGGGCGCAACCACCAGCACTCACCGCTCTTGCGCACCTCCGTCAGGGTCTTGCCGAGCCTTGTGGCCATGGAGTGGGTCAGCGGCATGCAGTCGGAAGTCTCGTCGCTGGCATAACCGAACATGATACCCTGGTCCCCAGCTCCCACATCCATCTCGTCCTTACCGACATGCACTCCGCCGGCAATGTCCGGGCTCTGCTTGTTGATGCGGACCAGAACCTCGCAGGTCTTGTGGCTCAAACCCTTGCTGTCCACGCTGGAAAGATCATCCACGAAGCTGTCGAAGCCGATCTGTGCCACGACTCCACGCACCACCTTGTCATAGTCCAGCTTGGCGCCGGTGGTGATCCTCTTGTCTTCAATAACAGGGCCCAAAAACATCAAACTTCCTACGATTACGATGAAAAAAAGAAAAATATAAATACAAATATATATATATATATATATGTATACATATAAATGTATGGTCAAACAGGTTAAAGTTTTCCTCCAAGGATCTCTCCCGCCACCATGACCATGTTGTCCTTGGTCGCCGTCTCGCAGGCCACCTTGCTCTTGGGGTCTGCCTTCAGGCAAGCGTCAAGCACAGCATCCGACACCTGGTCGCAGATCTTGTCTGGGTGACCCTCGTTCACAGACTCCGAGGAGAAGAGGAAGGTGCGAGACGTGCGCGCCTTCTTCTGCGCTGGCTCTGCCATGGCTCTGGAAGCAAGAGTGGACTGGGGCGCACAAAACTGTCAAAAGCTTGGGCCAAAAATGGCCACGATAGGATTCAGGGTTAGTCTTGTTCTGCGCCGCTACGACTCTAGAATACCCAATCCAGCCGGATGCCAAGAAGAGTCATGGGCCCGAAATGGGCAGAACAAGGGTGTACTATCGATGCCTTGGTAGCCTAGGGGTGGGGTGGCATATTATGGGAAAAGTATGCGTAGGCTCGGAGTACCTGGAGCTAAAAAACCCCAAAACCTAAACCTTAAAGCCGGAACTTTAAGGGTTGGCAGACACCTTCTGAGCAAAGCAGTGGCTTAAGGCAGTAACTGCGATTTTCTGATGTGGTGGGCTACCGTATCCTGTAAGGGTTAGTATATGTTGGTATATTATACGGGCCTTATGCTAACTACATAAAACTAGAGTAGGGTTTTGTGTCGGGTATATTATACCATATGAATACAATAAACTGAAGGGAAGGACCTAAGTAAAGATGACGCCATCATCCACGACCAGGCTCTCCTAAACCCGTAAAGTCCTAGACTAAACCCTTAAACCGATTTACGTACTTTACTGGCTTGAATGGGAGTTGGGAGTACAGTCACAAAGGTATGCGCATATTAGGAAACCCTAGAGTGATTGTTCAGGCCTCTCTATCAAAGCCAGTTCCAAGGCCCTGGCATGAAAGTCACTGCGGAGAAGAGCTCTGCGATGGATGTCGCAGCAGCCACACCCGAGACTCCCAAGCCAAAGCCAAACATAAGCAGTGGATCCTTGGGGCCGTGCTTGGATGTGTAATCATACATCAGGGTTACTTTCGCATCCCTAGACTCCAGGTTTGCGGGCTTACGGCTTGGTGATGGGCTTCGGTTTTTGCATGAAATCCGAAGATGCAGGCAAGCGACAAGGCAGGCATTCAACATGTTCGCCGCCAAAGACACCCTCAAAGGGGTGCGGAAATCCAGAAGCCCTCGAAAGGTCGCGAAGCTCACCGTGCTGCACAGAGTGGCTATCAAGGAGAGGCCCCGGATGCGTGCGTAGGGTATCGCTTCTGCTAGGACTTGAGGTCTATCGGAAATGAGCTTCAGCACGACATGGGGAAAGCTCACCTCGGCTGCTCCAGTTCCAAAAAACGGAAGAAGCCGCCTCCGGGTTCCCAACTATGAGTAGCAACTTGAGAAGTAAAGGCCATGCTAAGGCCGCCGAGCGACAAGCGCCAGAGTGCCACAGGCTCCCATGACACAGGCAAAGCCCAGGGCTTCTCTTACCCACTTGGCCGCCATCGACTTACGACCCCGGGCAATCTCCTGCCAAACTTTCGTCCAAGAGACATGATATGGCTATAGTGCAGTTGATCATCTTTCATTTCATGTGGTGAGCTGGGGGAGAACTGGAACATGCCCTCTGGGTTATGTGCATCTCTTGTGTGTTTACAACCCATAGGATCGAGATTTCGGAATCGTTCAGGACAAGCACGTTTCACTTGAATTGAAAGCCTTGACAAGCCATCACCAACGCATGACGACAATGACACACTTAACTGCCCCCGTCGCAAGTACGGTGCTCTGCTACAACTGCTACAATTGCTATGCTTGCATCTGCTATCTTCTGTTCCTGCTGTGCGGTAACTATTCCCACTTTAATTTTTGCGGCTGCTGCTAACTCTACAACTATGTAGGCGGCTTAGGAGTGATGACGCTGGCGATCAAGATGCTGTTGGGTCTGCCGGGAATTCAATTCTGGTCTTTGCAAACACCAAAACAACAACCACCAGCTCCCCGCCCACCAACACCAAAACCACCCCGACCCCTGGCCGCCGCAAGCATGAGCCTGCTCAGAATGATCATTCTTGAATCATTATCATCTTCATCACCCCCACCACCACCGCCACCACCACCACCCCCACCACCCTCAACCCCACCCTCACCCCCACCCCCACCACCGCCACCAGCACCCCCACCCCCACCGCCGCCGCCGCCACCACCACTCCCCCATCATCATGATGGTCTTCTTAGATCTTCGTGCTCTTCTTCATCACAACCATCTGCAGCAACATGCTCTTTCTCTTCCCATGCTCAGCACCACCAGCATCATCACCATGTTCGATTTCTCAGAACTCCGGTGTCGTCGTTGTGTTGAGCTATCCTCTGTGAAGCCAGAGACTCTAGCTGGACTCTAGCTAAATACCCACCTGCCCAATGGCACTGTGAATCTACCGCTAGAATCGGGACCCAAGGCCGGCTCTCCTCGGCTATACGAGGCGTAACCACAGCAGGGAGGAAGCTGATGAGGAAATAGATGGTGCTGTAAACTTGGTTGGCTGCACCTGCTGCGACACGTAAGGAACGCGTTCATTGTTGATGGTACTTATATACCCTGCACAGGTCTGTGCGCGCGGTGGCCACCAACCTCGTCGTTCCACGGATGCTGTCAATGCTGTCTCAAGCTAACCGAAAGTGTGCACAGTGTCGTTAACAGAACCCGCTCGTTCTGCCATCAGGAGCACGTCGGCGACACTTAGAACACCCGTTGCATTAAAGGCAAGTCACCCATCCCAGCAATCGCCCATGGGTCTCCTGAGCTAGGTATGCTCCGGTGTCGCAAGTGCAGAACGCTCGTTCTGATTAGTCTGAGCATGTCTAGGCTTTCTACAGCCACCCTGGACCACGAAGCGACACAGACTGGGTGACACCCAGCATTGCAGCACAAGGCTCGGGATTGACCGATCCAAAAGAGGTCGATCGATCCCACCAAAGGCAGGAGGATGAGATTGGCGACGGCAGGGGCCCAAACCTCGCAGCACAGCCATGGATGACGATGTCATGTTGCAGTTTGCGTTAAGGCAGCAAGGACCATGCTACGCGAAAACCCCGTCAGAGAACTGTAAAACTCGTCCTTCAATGAGACGCGCTACTGGAAAGACACCCAAATTGGGTGCGCCATGGTGTGCCGTCGAATGCAAAAGGCCTAAAAATGGGGCTGACAGCCCCGAGCTTCAATTCGACTCGAGACCAAAAGCCTGGCTGATTGGGCTTTGGTGCGGCCGTTGAAGTCTTGGGTGCTCAAAGAATCCTCATGAGGAAAAGTTCAGCTTGGGTTGCAGGATTCATGCCCAACTCAAGACAAACTTTTGTTCGACAGGCCCCTTTCGGCTAGTCATGCCTGCCTGACGTGCAGTGCATTGTGCACAAGCCGATATCGCGTTGACCCACCCGAAACATCCGCACTCACTACCCCTGCCTTCTGCCATCTTCTGCCACACTCTTAGACCGACCCTGGCTGGGCCTGAACAATATAGAGGCGCGATGCTGACTCTTAGGTCACCTCATTATAACCACAGCATAATGTACCCCAAAAGCCTATTCTTCTTTGCACTTAGAACTGTAAGCCTTAGATTCAAAAAACCCTTGTTGTTAGAGACCTCATTCTAGATATTAAGGCCACTGTAGCATCAGCACCTCCAAGATCTCCGCGTCCAGAGAAGACCACCGGGGCCACCGTCGTTTCGAAGGCTCCGGCACATCTGTCGATAAGCGAGGTGCGGAACGAAGGCCTCAAGAAAAGAGACGGAGCCTGGATTAAACCCCCAGATCCCCTTGTAAGGACCCTACTTGAACCCTTAGTGGACGAACTTTCGGGGCTTCAAGCTTTGGAGCCAGAGTAAAATACATGGTGGACTTTTAGGCCGTATGGGGTTTACAGGGGTTTCTCAAGGCCATGCTCCGAGGACTTTGAGTGCTCAGATCCGTACGTAGATTATGGATTCGACTAGCTCCCATACAGGATTTGGAGTTTATGCGGTTCATGGCCTCGAGACCAGAAAATTCAGTTGTTTCGCGATGTTAAACAGGTCAAGTATGTTTCCAACAAAGACTTGGGCAGGCTTCCAAAAACGACCACTCTCCGATGGCAAGAAAGGCAAGGCACCGTAGTCAAGTGCCAGCTCCCAGAAATACAAAGCGCCCTGGGGGCACCTTGCCTTTAGCACTTTAGCCTCGTGAACCAAACTTCATGTAAGGGTCGTATGGTGTGTTGTAGTGTTTGATAGAGGGAGTTTCGACGAGGGCCAATACGGCTCAAGAATAAGTTACAAGATACACACACAGACAGAAAGTCCTGAGCTTTTGTTGAATCTTGCGCTTGCGCACCCTACATCCCCAAGGCTGATCGCCAACCCTCCAGACCCCAAGGTACCCTAAGCTCTCGTCCACACACACGAGTGCCGCTTCGACAGCGCCCAGACACGATGCTGCCGCTGCCAGCCACAGTGGAGAAGCGAAGCGGTGATTCCCGCAATCTCATTGCCGGACCTGCCCTGCCTGCCACGGTTTGGACTCACTTCGCGAACCGGGGCGAGGTAACTGACGATTTCCGATATGCTTTTTGGCATCGAGCTGAGACCGCCGGAAGAGTTCGATTGAAAAGACCGGCGCCTCAGGGTGGAAGAGCCTTCGGGGCTCAAGGATCTAAGGATCTCAGACTTGCAGAAGGATGTTGAGCAAAGAACATCGGGAGGTTCAACGCATGAGCCTCGGATTTTGGAGCTCATCTCCGATGTGCCGACACCCGCCGAGACAGTGCCAGTCACGGCGCTTACAACATGGCAAGAAAAGCCTGTACAACCCTTGCTGAACCCATTCAAAAGCACACAGTGACACAGGTAACTTCGAGGGCAGGTGCAATTTCAAAATTAAAAAGGTCAAGATCTAGGAACGAAGGGACGACCAGGCGCGGGACACATGCTCGAAAATAGCCGAGGACCGCCTGAAGGCCTGAAGCATCGTCTTTGATTTCATCGTCCTCCGAGACCTGGATAAGCTAAAGCTACTATAGCCTCACGTCCTTTTACCCTGAAGCTCTGCGTGAGTCCCAGGCCCCCAGCTTTCCCAAAGCCAAAGCCCAAATAGCCTGCTGCTGCGAGCTCTGGGGGCATCCGCCTTCCAAGGCTCAGGGATTTGACAGTCTCTGACATTCTCCCGATTCCCTGTGGCTTAGGCTTTCGAGTTCATTGGGGCAGATTCTGCGTTCAAGGATTGGAGAACAAGCGATGCTATTGCTACTGAGCGCCTCAAGTTGCACTTTGCATAGCTCATGCTGCGACATCTGGGTGGACAAGATCCAGAGCTGCACAACTTCAGCGTCCTGTGTTCCGCCAAAACTCAACCCCAAATCACAACTATTTAAAGCCGTAGCATTCATCCAAAAACTCTCCGAAACACGAAACCCGGACGAGAAAATGATCTCGGCCTCCCAGTTCTTGCCACCATATCCTTGGAGACCAGCACAAGTGGAGGAGCTCTTCAGGGCGGTGAGGCTTCTTCCGTATCCGGTCGAGAACTCACGTGTCGAAGCCTTATCATCATAGCAACAGTAAGGAGTTCCACACTCTGCGAATCTATCATAGCCGGAAGGGGTATCTTACCTTGGATCTTCTGCTTGCCGCTATCCTATGTTGTTGTTGTGCTTATCTATCGTGTTGAAAACTTGTGTAACCCCTTCCAAGCTTCCTACTGCTGGTGTGAACCGATGACTGCGCATTATCCTGGGAATTTTGGACATCCTCAAACCCAAACACAAAGAAGCTCATCTGAGTGACCGGTGGGTGAACACTGCTTGGAGGCTTTCACAGTGCCAGTGGAGCCGATGCTGCGTGGCGCGATCATGGGCTCTTTAGCGGCCTATAGTGTTTCGTGATTACGCCTCTGGGTGAGGGCTTACGAGGCACCTGCTGCTTGGTAGAGAGCTTGCGTGTCTCGTGGGTGCAGCCTGCGCGCAGTTTCCCAAATCAATCCGTTTGTGGCCATCCCTGTCTACCCAAAGTGTTTGGGCGCACTCCACTGGCACCTTTCCTCTGTGCGTCTTGACGACTCCAGCCGAACAGCTTCAGAACGCAACACACTGGGTGACACAACCGATGGCACGGATTCAAGCAACCGGTCCGACCATGTGCTTGCTACTTGACATGTAAAGCCGCCAAACTACAAGGACCCCGAAACGGATGAAGCATGTATGCACCTGAAACAAAATCGACCACCACATCAGACACTAGATTCACATGTCAACATGTGTCAGTCTACTGAGGCAAGGCCGAACAACAGATCTAAAGCTAAACAAAACAACATGTGCAATAGGCAACAAGTCACGAAATGCCTACGTGCCTCAGTCCACCTACCAAGCTAGGGCGTGGAATGTGCATGTGACATCCACTGTCCTGTCCTAGGCTCCATTTTGTTCCCGCCGTTAAGCGCAAGTCTACGCCTCAGAGCTGGATACAAAGCTTACAAGGATTCGTTTACACATCTACAAGAGCTGCTTGGCACAGGACAGCTGGCTCTGCCCAACGCGCCGGCACTGGGGCCGGCGGATCTGAGGCATCACAGGCCGTCTAGGTCCAGCGACAGAAGGGCGGCAATCCAAGTTTCTGGGTTGCCTGCACACTTAGTCCACCCACTTTGTCAGGTAGGTGCTGCCCTTCAGTGCAGCATCCACCTGATCCGTGGTCATGGCCTTGTACTTAGACAGGTCCTTGGGGTTCTCCCACTCAAAGAACTTGATGCCTCCCTTCGTGCAGGGCTCGCGGCCGAAGTGGCAGTAAGCTGCCGTCTCCTGGTACTTGGGCTCACGCAGAGCCAAGGACTGGGCGATGGCACCGGGACGGCAGTCGAACTCGATCTTCAGGAC